AGGGGCGGGGCGCGGAGGGGCCGGGGGGCGGGCGGCGGGGCGCAAGGGGAGGACCGACCGCGCGAGACACCCGGACGCGCAAAGGCGGGGGAAGGGGCCAAGGGACGGGGGCGGGAACGGGGAGGGGGAAGCCAGAGCAACGGGAGGGCCGGACGAGAAGGGGCCGGGGGGGAAAAAGGCGGGGGAGAGGAGCGGCCACCGGGAGCGAGACACGAGGGGAGGGGGGGGAAGAGGGGAGGGCACCCCAGAGCCAGAGAAGCCACCGCGGACCGGCGAGCGGAGAAGAGGGAGGAGCGAGCCAACGGGGGGGGGCACGAACGGAGACGCACACAGAGCGGGGGGGGGGAGAGGGGGGGCCGAGACAGAGGGGAGCAAGGGCCAAACCGGCCCAGACAGGAGAACAAAAGAGAGACAGGGGACGCAAACGAAGGAAGAAGGGGGAGCAACGCGCACAGCAAGGGCAACCACCACACAAGGAGGAGCGACACCGGCCACCAGGAGGAAGAGGGGAGCCGAGAGGGCAAAGGAGCCAGCGGAAGGCGGAGGGAGGAAACAGGAAACAGGAAAGGCCGAACGGCACCGGGGAGAAAGGACCGACCGAAGACAGAGAAGGGGAGAAGGCGGGGGAAACGCGGGGAGGGAAAGCAAGAGGCGGAGCGGACAAAAAGGAGGCGAGGGGCAGCGGGGAAGGGGAGGCAGGAGCGGGGGGCGAAAAAAAGAAGAGAGAGAGAGGGCGAAGGGGAGGCCCGAGGAAGCGGGGGGGCAAGGGAGGGAAGAGAGGCGCCGAACGGGCGGCCGAAAGCGGGGGGCGAGGAGCGGGAAAGAAAAGGGCAGGGAACGGGGCAAGGAAAAGGCAGGGAGGAGGACGACCAAACGAGAAAGAGGGGGCGGAAACAGGGAGACAGACAGGAAGAAGAGACAAAAACGGGGCGCGGGGCGGACAGGGAGGGAACGGAGAAAGGCGAGGGGGAAGGAGGAGGCAGAGAGAGGACACCCGGGAGGAGGCCGGGAGGCGGCACGGGAAGCGGAGGCAAAAAGCAAAGAGAGGAAAAGGGACAAGGCCAACAAGGGGGCAGCAAGAGGGAACAACACGGGGGCCACCCCGCAAAGGCGGGAGGAACAGCCGCCGCCAAGAGAGGAGGCACGAGACAAAGGGAAGGAAAAGGGAAGGGAGGCAGGGAGGCCGCAACAGGAGAGAGAAGGGAGGGGGAGAGAGGGAAGGGAGAGGCCACAGAGCGCGGGAGGGCCCGAACAAGAGGGGAGGGAAGAGAACAACACAAGCGGAAAAGGGACGGCGGGGCGGGAAGAGAAAGCGGAGGAGGAGGGGGGGACCAGGGGGAAACCCCCAAGGAACAGGGGGGGAGAACCAGCAGACCGGGAGAGGCGGAGGCGAAAGAGGGGAGAGGGAGGCGAGGCAGACGGGGGGGGGAAGGAGGGGGAAGGGGCACCCGGGAAAAGAAGAGGAGGCGCAAAGAGAAAAGAGAGGGGGGCGAAAGGGGCAAGGAAAGAGAAGGGGGGCGAGGGGAAGAGAGGCGAGAAGGGGCACAAAGGGGGCGAGGGCAGCGAGGGGGAAAGGGCGGCAGGGACCGGGGGGGAAGCAGCCAAGCCGGAGGGGGGCAAGGGGGAACGGAGGAGGAGAAGCGAGAGGAACCAAACAGGCGCGGAGGCCGGGAGCGAGGAACAGGGACGCGGAGGAAAGCGGGGGGAGAAGAGCCCAAGGCAGGCGGCGCAGAGCGGGGGAGGGAGACCAGGGCAAGGGGACAGAAAAAGAAGGGAGGAGGGAAGGAGGAACACGGAGGGGGGCACAGGAAGGGAGGGACAGAGGGCGGGCCGCGGGGGGAGCCGAAACAAGGAGAAGAAAGGCAAGGGACAGGGAGGCAAGCGCGCAAACCAGCCGCAAAGAAGGAAGAAAGCAAAGAGAGAAAAGGGGAACCGCCAGGGGGGAAGGGCAAGCACCACGCCAAGCCGCGAACGCAGGGGGAGCCAAACAAAGGGACCACAAGCAGGGAGACAGGGGAAAGGACCAGCCAAGGGGGCAAAGGGCAACCGCGCGGGGGAACGAAAAAGGAGAGGAGCAAGAGAAAGAAGGGGAGGCACGGGGACGCACGGGGAGGGCAAAAGCAGGCAGGAAAGGCGCGAGAGGGGGGCCAGGGGCGAGGAAGGACCGACGGGCGAGAGGGGGAGAAAGGGGGGGCCGCCAGACAGCCAAGAGGCCGGAAGGGGGAGGGGACGAAAACGGGGGGGAGAGAGAGAAGGAAGCACGGGGAAGGGAGAAGGCACAGGGGAAAACGGCGGAGGGCAAAGACGACGGGCGCAAGGGGGGGGGGGGCAAAGGCAAGGGGAGGGCACGGGGGCGGGGGGGGGGGCAAGGGGGAAGGGGGGAGGCACAGAAGGGACAAGGGGGGGCCAAAGAGGGAGGAGGGGGGCAGGGAGAGGGGCAGGGGCCAAAGAAGAAAAAAGAGGGAGAAGCGGAGGGGCAGAAGGGGGCGACGGACCACCACAAGGCAGCGAAAGCAGGACGGGAGAGGGCCAGGGAGGGGGGGGGGGAGCCGGAAGCGCGAGGAGGAAAGAGGGGGCGGGGGGGACAAGGCAAACAAGAGGGCGAAAGGGAAGAGGGCGCAGGGGGGGGAAGGAGGACCAGCCAGAAGGGGGAAAGGCCAGGGGGGGCAGGAGACGGAAGGCCGGACGGGGGGAGGGAGGAGGAGGAGGGGAGCGACGCGGGGCAAGCAGCCCAAGAAAAAGGGCCAGGAGCGGGAGAAAACAGAAAGGGAGCGGGCGACGGGGCGGGCAGGGAAGAGGGGGAGGCGAGGACGAAGCCGGGGCAAGAAGGGGAGAGAAGAAGAACCAGGACACAGGGAAGCCAAGAAGGGGGAGAGGGGGCGCAGCACAAGGCCAGAACGACAGCCGGAAAGAGCAGGGGGGGAAGAAAACAAGAAGCCAAGAAGAAGGCCAGGCGAGAGAGGAAAGGAGGAGAGGGGCCCAGGGCAAGGGAGAGCAGGGAGCGAAGACAAGGCGGACAAGAGGCGAGGGCGAAGCAGGGGCAAGAAGGGGAGAGGAGGCGGCCCAACAGAAGGAAGAGCCAGCAAGAGGACAAGGGGGCCAAGCACAAGGCCCAAGGCCAAACAAGGAAGACAACGCGGCAGGGGGGAGAGGCAAAGAGGGGGGAAAGCCAAGGCAAGCCCAGGGGCAAAAGAGGAAGAAGGGCAAGGCGGGGAGAAGGGGAAGGGGGAGGGGGGGGGAGGAAAGGAGG